CATCCTTCATTGGCTGCTCCATACAACAACATCGGTTTGGTGTATTCCAAGATGGGAGAGTACTCGAAAGCACTTTCATCTCACGAAAAAGCACTTGAAATTTGGCAAAAAACTCTTCCTTCAAATCATCTTAATTTGGCTACATCATACAACAACATCGGTTCGGTGTATGACAGCATGGGAGAGTACTCGAAAGCACTTTCATTTTACGAAAAAGCACTTGAAATCTTTCAAAAAACTCTTCCTTATAATCATCCTTCATTGGCTGCTCCATACAACAACATCGGTATGGTGTATTACAATATGAACGACTATTCGAAAGCACTGTCATGTTTTGAACGGGCTCTGGATATATGGCAACGTGCATTGCCTGAAACTCATCCTAATATAAAAACTGTGAAAAACAGTATTGAAGTTGTAAAAGAAGAAATTCTAAAGAGTAGTTGATAAATAAATAAAAGAATCTTTTGTTCACTTATTTTTCAATTAATTCTAGCTTGTAGTGACTCGCACGCGCGTACGGAGAACAACTCTGTAAATAATAAAAACGTAATAGATAAAGCCGACTGATAAGGTAATACACATACGTATGTATGTATGTATATAAATGATCTTCTCAGACATATTTATATTTCAAATTCTTTACGAGAGTGTTTCCTGTAATAAAAGAAGAATAACTTAAATGGAACTAAATTATAATAGTGTTGAACAAGGCGCCGTATGATGAAGAAAAAGTTAAAAAACTGCGATATATTATCAAAACATGATCTAGTTGAATTAATCAATGAGTATTCATCATTAATAAGAAAGAAATGAAAAGAAAAATCATTTGTTTATGATGTATTGGTCAATTTAGAAATATTAAAGATATGATGAATTATAATTTATTTTATAATGTAGAAAAGTCAACTATAGTCCTCTGATCTCGGATTCAGAGCAAGAGAGAAATTGTTTGAAGAAATATCTTACAATGATATCTCATTTTTTTAATGATCAACACACTTAGGTGTTTCGGAGAGGATACTATAACATACCGAAATAGATCAATTAAATTGAATGTATGCAAAAAAGCAACTAATCTTGATAACAAAGAAGATTCTAGATATTTATATTTAATGAAAATGATTAAGTGTTATTTTCTACTTCTATATTCCAAGATCGAATATGAACAATAGTCAACGGTCGCTTATGAGAAAACACGGAAATATACGACTATACGCTAATTAACCATTCAATAAATAACATTCTATTCTTATCTATTTTGCATTATTGTGCTTTTTTCAAGTTGCCGCTGTAGATCATAAAGACTAACAAGTATTTTCACTTGTTTTACTTCATTTATAGAAGATCGTCTAAATCGGCTGAATTAATAAATAGCATGCATTTTTATTTTATAATACTTCATTCATTTGGTGAATAGTTGCAAGATTTTGTTTTGAAAAGCAAATGCACGAATAAAGAGTGAAGGTATAGACAAAAAAAACAAAATTAATCTTGTTTATACTATATCAACTAGAGATAAATTCAATAAGTATAGTGATACAAGTCGATATTCAAAATGTCAAGATAGATCTACACTCTGAAGAGTTAATTGAAATCAAGATGATCTAAATTAATTTAAAACATTAAACTTTGCTGTTTAGATCACAACCATGAGAATGAGTATTGAATTAACTGACTGAATTGTAGTATCAATGATTATTCAGATTCCGATAAAGTTTATACAATTAGTACAGTTCATCGAGTTAACTATTTTCTTTTATGATCTAAATGATTAAAATAGATTAATCTAATACACTATTTCAACTTTTATTTGATTTAATATAAACAATGAAATTGAAAAGTAATTACTAATATATTTATTATAATTAATAAACTTGATCTCCTGTTCCTAGAAACAGAATGACGAGTGATCAAAATCATTTGTATTTTATATTTTTACATATAAAATTACATGTATAGATGAATAACATATATATTTTTTCTTGAAGGATTGAAATAAATTACATGCTAAAACAAGTAAGCATGATAAAATTTCTTCTCATTCTTGATTATTAACGAAATTTAAGCATACATTCATAATTAATGGCTTCAAACTATTTTATATAACATTGCTATACAAGATTATTTTAATCACAATTACGAGTTACTTCTCAAAATTAAACCAATTTCTAACATTTTCATACAGAGAAAAATTCTGTTTTTTAGATATGTACTGAAATGTATGATGTAATTATTTAATAGACTACATCTTAGGGATTAGTAAGATAATAATCAAACTCAGTAAAAAGATTCTTTCTGTTCAATAATAGATTTTATGAACAACAAGATTTCTTCTTCTATTCATGATCTAGTCCATTCCTTTGAAAATCTATAAGGTTTTTTTATGATGCACTTTATACTTAAAATAAGTATACTGTAGCTGAATGATTTAAAGCAATAGATACATCTATTTCTCCCCGACCATATTAATGAATCATCTCTAATGAACGCTAAAACATGAATCACGATTTTCATTGATTCGAAACATTCTCCAAAAAGCAGAATATCTCAGTAGATTTGTTTGATTTTTATTTTTCCTCATCGTATTATATACTACCTTATAGGATTGAACATGTTAAAATTATCAAAAATAGTTGTACGTACTTCTACGCATTAATTTATCAATTTTTTAATTATTATTAACTAAAAATACACTGTACCCTGGCGATACCTCTTATGAACATTTGCCTACTCCCGCAGCCGATCTACTCCCTTCTGTAGGTGTGATGTATTTTTTTTACTCTTCGATTTTTATTCAATTATAAATCTTGTTACAATAATAGGAATGTTGGGAAAGGGCGTTTCATGACTTCGATAAAGAAGATTAATGTTTCTTACAGAGACAAACATCAGAAAGAAAATCAAGACCACCACAACAATAATAATAAAGACCCTTATGATAATAACCATAACGACAACAGGTTGCATCAACAGGTTTCTTAAAAAGATTACAGCAGTCATCATTGTCCCAACGATCCTCATCCACCTTTTCCCAGTGTCTCCAAGTGCAGACCCAATTCCACTTGTCTTGATCACCAGTAAAATGCCAATCACAACACTTGTGACACTTGGCACAAGGACGACCTTTACAACGAAGTCCCGTATACGTGCCAGGCGCAGTAAATTCTTGAAGTTCTAAATAAAAATTTTAGACAATTACAAAATCATGTAGGACAAAGGTAATTATTTTATAAGAAATCTATTCAGAGGACCGTGGTAAACTTGAAATTGACTCAATAACAGACTATAAGATCATTCAATGGGAACACTATTCTCGTTTACAAAGAAATACTCTTAGGAAAGTGTTGAGGAATGCAGATAATCGGAGTCATTTAAAAGTCATTATTAAAGAAACTTGATACATTTTCTCTATTTAACAAGTCATAGGTTTGAGACTTTTGAGAATTTAGAATCTTCGAGATATTCGAATTTTCTAAAATTGACCAAAGAGTTTCTGCTGTGCAACAATGAAAACTTTTGGAACAACTAGTTTCAGTAATTTTCAGCATTGTGGACTTTAAGATATCGAGAAATATGAGAAATTTCAACATTTTTTCATTATAAGAATTTTATAATTGTGAGGACTATTGGGATAGTAAGATTTTCTTTAGTTAAACATTTAATCCTAAATTTGTGTTTCTGACACAAAGATGCAGTAAAACAAACTCTACATACTGATTTGTTGACTAACCGCGCCAACTCATATAATCAGAAAGTTGTAAGCTTACAATTTTTGAAAAAAAAATTAATGGGTATGACAGAATGAGTAGAGTCTCAGTGTTTTGTTGATATCTTTGGCAATTGTTCAGATTTTATCTTTTTTTTAGAGAATTAGTCATGAGAGCCTCTATAAAACGGTATATTTTAGTATTAATTATACTTACTGTTCATTTATATTGATATAATCTAAAATAAAATATAGTATTCATTTAAAACTAATAAATTTTACTTAACGATGAGCGTTTGGTGTAGGTGTGGATATGTATGAGAAAAAAAGCAACACTCACACCTAACCCTGAACATACACGCTCGCACCTGCAGAAAAATCTACCACCGGTGCTTAGGTATATATCTGCTATTAGTATCAGGGTTGTGTGGATATATTTTTAAAATTTAGCATTGCTCCGTAATGGTCTAACCAAACGTTTATTACTGCGGCCTAAAAGCACAGCTTATCAAGGATTTCGAAGAAAAATCGATGTATCATTTTACTTGAGAGACGAAACTCTTTCTTACCTTTTCGCAGCAAACACAATATATGACTAAAGTTGCACGTTGTACTTTCACACGTTCTTCAGAAAGATAAGACACGAACGTATGGCTGTTCGCTTGGCCATTCTTCTGACGCTTTTATTTACAGATTACTTTAGTGTTTCAGACTGATAACAAAAAACTAACAACTTTGGTTGGCGCAAGGATGTGCGTGAGAGTGAGTGGGCATTCTATTTTATTTACTCACACCAACCCGGCTATCAGAAATAATTCCATACGTCTTACTGCACGATATTTTCCATCTCTAGTTCCACTAACAGCAAAGGAAAGAATTGCACGAAGATCTTGCATAGTTTGTAGCCATACAAGCAGACGCGAGAAAAGGCGTACCGATACACGTTATCAGTGTGATGTGTTGTTTTGAAACGAAAAAAAGAAAACTCATCTTAAAAAAAACAATCGTAACTAAAGAGTTAAATCGTATCACAAATAAAAAGAGTAGTATTAAGAAGTCACAATTAATTTTAATCGTATCAAAAAATCCCTTCAAATAACGTCTATCGTATTTTATTGAAGTAAATAGATTATTTAATAGATTTTATGATAAAATGAATACAACATTGTTCAATGATAGTTAATTGAAGAGTATGATATTTAAATTCTTGTTATAAAGAGTATTTGGTTATTGATAAATGATAATATATTTTCTATATATCATCGTGTTGAAGAACAACTTTTGCGTCTATTAAATGATAGTTGTATTGTAAAATACACAAAAAGCTTCACGTGTTCTTTTTCATCTATTGTGAAATGAACCATAACGAAAGAGAAAAGATATGTCTCATATACATATACATTTGATCATTTTTATCTTCATAGTTATATATCAATATTAA